ATTGCCAGGCACCAAGGCTGAACAAAAGAGGGTTCTACAGGTGTCCATACGGAGGAGGTGCCACCACCAGTGCTGCACCAGGTCAGCCATGTGGAAGGAGACCAGCCCAGGAGCACCTGGAAAAGAGACAGCAGTGGAGGACGCGAACCAGAGAACGCCCCGTGGCAGCTGGAAGCACGGAACTGGATGTGCCTATGTGAGGGGGCTTCCATTTGGAAGCTTCAGAGAAGACATTCCATTAAGTCCCAGAATCCACTGCTCACTCACTTTATAGAAACAGACACTGGAAAACTGGTGTGATTCTGACTTTTATTATGTGGTCAGACCAGGTGGAGGCTGGGAGAAATAGCAGCACAAAGGGGTTTCCCTCCCCCAGCTGCCTCCACGGGCGCCCAGACCAGGGGCTGCCTGCCCAGGAGGGCGTCCCTCACCCTGTGCCCACACTCAGAATCTCACTTGGGCCCTGAAATGCATCTGCTTGGTGGCATTGTTCTTCATGCCCGTCTTCAGCATCCACTTGGACTTCATCCTCTGGACATACTGCATGTCCCGCTCTCGCATGAGGGCTGCACCTGGGTAGAAGGGCAACAAGAAATACGCATTGTCACACGGGACCCACATCTTTGCCAAAGAGCCCCATATCACGTGGGGCTCACTGGGTGCTTCCACCTAAACCAGGAGCTGACAAGCAGTGGGTTTTGTGGCCTGTGAACACGCATCTGCACCCAAAGGCCAGCCTGCTCTGTAAACCCAGCAACCAGGAACTTGTGCCTTTAGCTTTCATCAACGTGAAGAGGCGGCGCACCACTGATCTAAGGGGGCACATGCCAGTTATCACGTCAGGCGCTCTTTCTGACAGGAGGAGGAGCCCCATCTCTGCTAATTCAAGATGTCTCCTTGAAAAATCACGAATATGGACCTACAATCTGCCTGGTCCATCATGCCACCCTCGCGGAACTTGTGGGCGACGTGACACTCAGATCTTAACCTTCTCAGCGAGGCCCCATCAGTAACCTCACTACTTAGTTCTAAAGGAGACAGCAGGGCTTACAGAGATGGATGCAACGACTCATGATTATCAGGTCAGTCAGGAGCCCTGGTGGCGCAGCGGTCAGGCACTCAGCTGCTAACTGAAAGCTGCTCCCTGGGAGGAAGATGTGGCCACCTGTGTCTGCAAAGATCCCAGCCATGGAAAGCCCCGGAGCGGCGCTCCTCTGTCCTACAGGTGTACTTGGAGCCAGATCACCTAAGTGCCTCTCGGGACTCCAGAGAAGTCACGGGTGACATCACAGCTCATGTCATTAACCTCTAGGGCCCTACTCCATTCCTCCATGCAGCCTGCCTGGATAGCTTCAACCTCTGAGGATTATGAAATGGCCAAGTCTGTGATCATCTCTTCCGATACACTAATGATGACTGGCGCGGGTGAGGAAGTCACTGTGCCAAGAAGATAGAGTTTGGGAATGTGTCACTCCTGAGCCAAGATGTTCTGTGTCCCTGGAGAGGCTTCAAGGAGCCCTGATGGCACAGTGGTGAT